TCATCATCATCATCATCATCATCATCATCATCATCATCATCATCATCATTGATCATCATCATCATCATCATCATCATCATCATCATCATCATCAATCCGAGCTCAACGGCCGCCGAGCGATGCGCATTTCCGTTGGCCTTTTCGCGTTATTTTTTTCATTCGACCGCTCGCCAACGACGAAGCGGTGCGCGAAGCCGCGACGCCGCGAAGCTGCGAAGCGAGCTGCGGGCTGCGGGCGCCAGGAGAGCCAGGCGCCGGATGTGGTGAAGGCCCGCAAGCGCTCCGCGATCATCAGCATCCTGCTGGCCCAGACGCCCAGATTCGGTGTTTTTTTTCGGTCCGTGCGGGACGGTTGAATGGGAGGAGACATTAAAAGACAGACCATGTTGGTAGTATAGTATTCTGCGAAATATGTGGTGACTTGGGCATCCTAAACGAAGTACACAGCTCAAGCAACCCTGTTGGAAGATCCCCTGATATTCCTTGAGATTATGTACACTCAGCCAAACGAGCCTCAAAACTGAGCGAGCCTGAGCATTATATAAGACAATCTTTGTTCTCCTCCCCCTGGCATGAACAATAACACTTGTTTAGCAACAGGATGCGTCTCCAGATGAGGGAAAACCCAATCTAGAACTGAGTCTCCTGACTGGTCACTGGTGATCATCCGATCCTCATCCGATCAAGAACCACATCCGATGCACCTCCGAAGCTCGGACTTGCTGGTGCAAAAAGGACTACACTCTTTCAGGACTTCCTTCTGTGGAATCTCGAACCGGACCTAAGTCTGATGAAGATATAGACTGCAGGTACTCAGACTCTACAGTGAAATCGCCTCCGCTTCCCTCATCTAATCGCAGATCTCGCAGACGTTGGATCGCGGTGTGCTCTTATCAAGGTTTGCACCTCCCCCCGCCATTGAAAAAGGGCTGGCTAGGTACTTTTGTGGTGAGCTGGTTTTCTAGAGTTGGCAAGTTTTTTCCGAAGCACGTGGAATCATGATGTCAAGATCTGGAAGAAAAGAAGCATGTTCAATTTTTATCAATTTTTATTGGCGCAGCAAGAAGCACATCCCCCACACCTGAAGCGTGCGCACACGTGACGTAGTGAACCGAGGTGGATTTGCCCTTCTTCACCATTAGGTGGGTTGCCGGGTGGTGGTGCTTTTGCAAGACTCCGCCAAGAGAATCACACAAAGACCAGAGAAACCCATTGATCAGTTGATTGGGCAGCCCACTCCGCCGTTCTCTTGAAAGAGCCCATTTTTCTGCAGTCCACCTTGACTCCAAAAGCCTTCCGTCATCCTGAAGTGGCTCAGAAGAGCCCGTCTTTGAGTCCGGAGCCCTCTCTCCATACACGTCCGACTGGTGTCGGGGTGTGTTTTTGCCACAGACATCTGGCTGTGGGTCATGGCACCGCACTCTGGACCCGGTAAAATGAACCGATTCCTCTATATACACACACCCCCAAATACTGTACCCTAGGCTTCCAACCACCATCAATTTAATAGGCTTTACCGAATCAACTAAGGATTTTACACTACAAAAACCAGGTTGTTCCCATTGTTTTAATGGTCCAACGGAAGTCTAGGGTTAAAGTTATAAGAGAATGGTCTGTCTGACTAGGGGACCTGATTTCGGGAATGGTCTGTCCGAAAGGACAGGTCGAACCGGACTCCTTTGAAGAAAAGAGCCCGACCGAAGAACCACGTGCCATTTCTTGGCCGTTTTCAGTCGTAGAAGGTTCGCTTCGTCCTTTTGTTTTCTTTCGCGAGGACCTACATCTATACCTTGGGCCTCTCGATCCCCATGACCCAACTCGAGATAGATGGCCAGGCGAAGTCCGAGCGAAATGATTGACCAGGGAAGTCCTGATTACGGCTGTATTATGCTGTATTGATCAGGGTGGACGTCGTATCGATCGTATATCCAGTCGTATTGATCAGGGTGATCGAAGAAATCGGCTCATCGGTGTCGGCTGTTTCCACATTAAAGAGACAGACGGTCCCCTTCTTGGATCTGGGGCCCCCTGCTCTTGGTCTGGCGGTAGCGCAACGAGCGGAGTTTGGATGGGAGGAGGTGGACGAGACCGTAGAGAGTGGAGGGTTTGGTTCGGGGGCCTTCCACTTGACTACGGAGGTGGTAAAAGAATACTTGGCCAGGTTTCCAGCAAGATTGAAGGGTTGGTTCATTATTCCTTTGATACCTTTTAGGAGGGTATTAACAATGTATTAATAGCCTGAGTAGGTGTCCTTTCAGAGTGTTTTTGACTTAAAATACACCATCTCTTCATGCTTCATCCTTTTATGTTCTGACCCTGAAAGCCCTGAAGAGCTCCCGGGCTTGCCCCCCCAAAACTATATCAGATGCAAAGAGACTGCAGATAGCAGCAGCCACCACTACAAGTCCTGTCCTAGTCCTTCAATTTGATCGGTTTGCAAATCACCAGGACTGCATGAATTGCAGGATGGGCTGCCACGCATGGAATGAACCGATGTTCAGTCACCTCACAAAGCAATCATTGAAGAAAGCACCAGCAATTCTTCTTTGCTCCGTTCCCTTCGGATGGGCCCCCCTCATGTTGCTGAACGAAGCACACTACCAACATCAACCAGCAGACGCTGAACGCTGAACATGGCTAAAGATGACGCATTTCGGTCACCATTTGTCACCTCTTCAAAGCTCTTCTTCACTGCGGGAGTATTTCGGCCTTCTCGGGAGCTTCCTGATGCCCCCAAATTGGCCCTTCGAGAGTGCCGCTCCTTTTTTGGGGGGATGAAAAAGCTCGCTCACTCTGGATTCACAGTACAAAAAGGGGGCGTGGCAACCGGGGAGCTAGCAAAATGGAACACATCTTGTGGATTGGGAATGCGCCTTCCCCCCCCAATGGAACGCTGATCCCCAAACGCCGAGGACGCGGGTCCTAAGCTTTTTGATTCGAGAATGCAATAGACTGCCCGGACGGACCTGGATGGACCTCGCATGGCGAGGACCATGCAATCCGAATACCAAACAGGGGGTGCCATCCACACAACCATGATTACACCCGGGAAGATCAACATGGAACCTGACAATGGACCTTTGGAAGACTATTTTCCTCTACAACCCGACGTGGTTTTCAGGTTCGCGAATTTTCTCGGGTGTATTTCATGCAGTGCAGCTGTTTTTGTTCACATCTCGTACTGGTGTTCACCGTGCCGGCTGCGAGTGGGCGGAGGTGGCGATTGGTGGATGCACCTGTTGTTTCGCCAATCGGATTTCTCCATTCTTCCACATGTCTTCTGCTTCCACATGAACTCTTTTTTTCCTCCTCGTCATGGGTTTCTTTCACCTCGACTGTGTCAAGGCCGCACCAATCCCCCAACGCAACAGGTCTGACCGAACCAATCGCACCGAAACCGCACGGTCGCAGGAGGTGCATCGACCGCAACTGGACAAGTGGTGGGTCAGGATCCCCAGGATGTCCACGGGTTTGCCACATCGGGTCGTTGCCGCTTTGCGGCGGCGGCGGCGCTAAAGGGGATGTGTCGAATCCCGAGATCGGGGTGAATCCCGAAATCGGGGGAAGCGTCCTTTTTGGTTTCAAGAAAACAGTTCCTGGACAGCAGCAGATCCACCTGATTGGGGGAGAGGCATTCGCTTCCTGTGTTTTGTGTTGGGTAAACTGGGCACTCGCTGAGCAACGGTGCTGCTGGGCCTGGGCGGGGCTGAGCGGGGCTGGGCAGGGGTTTTCAGTGCCAAAGCTGCGGGGAGACACGTCGGTTTGTTGGTGCCAGAAGTTTGCGCTGATGCATGTTTCTTGGTTGTGGCCATCTTTCAGAAGAGGAGCTTGGTTTTGAACACGACGTACTTGGCGAATTCAAGAGGCGTGTCTTTCCAAAAGCTCTCGTCCTTGACCTGGAAATGGACGATTGGACCCAGTGACACTCAGTGACGATTGACCTACTGGTTGACCGGCGAGGTCCCGCATGTTGCTAGACCCGTATGTGGCGTACGACGTCTGTGCAGCCATTCCAAGTACTGCCAAGCAGCGATCTCCAAGAAAGCTCGGTGTTGACTTTCAAGCTCTGTTTCAGAAAAAGCTCTGGTCGAAGACACCGAGCTCTGGTCTGAAGTTTACACAGATCCTCAGAACTTCCTCATTTATCCGTGTCGACGCGTTTTCTGGTCGACGGTGTCGAAGTCCTCAGATCCATGGGACGACGTTCCAGTGACGAGTCCGACTCGTCGACTCAGGGGGGTGGTTGGCGACGATGTTCCATTCCGACTCGAGTGGTTTTCGACTTCAAGTGCTGTTTGTAGGGATCCAAAGGGTTCCCCCCCAGGACTTGGGATTGAACATGTAGCCCAAGGACACCCAGCAACTGCTGCCAACCTCTGCTCGAGCTTCCTGCTAAATCTATATAGATCTATACACACATCTAGGAACCCTAGGTGAGCGGGCATCATATGTATGTATGCCATGTATCTCAAGAAGTCTCTGTGTTCACGGAGATTGGATCTGACTGGATCAGGTGAAGAACATTCTCTGTATGATGCTCCAGGCCGTTCGGCCGTTCGGTCGCGCCACGGTCGCGCCGTCATGGCGCGAGAATGGACCCTCGGAAACCAACCGGGTTGGGTGGAGTCCGATTTGGGGGCCCAGTCGTCCAGCAGTGTGTCTTTCAAACTTGCGGGCCCAAGAAATTGAGATGTATTTTGACATATTTTCCACTTGCTGAGCCAGACATGCCAATCGATCTAGTGCCAAAAAGGATCTTTTCTTCCTCACCGTTCCAGCCTGCAAGTGTTTGATCCAATGCAGATTCATCTCTTCAGATGTCTCAAGTGTCTTCAGTTAGAAGGTACAGTCCCATCTAGTACCTAGATGCACCCAATATATCAATCTAGAATCTTTGATGTGGTTTCCAGCGTCTGGGGATCGGGTGCTGACAGTCTCGGAACTCCCTGCCTCGAAACGCATAGACCTGTCAGCATCCCAGACCTGTCAGCCTCCTATCCCGTTCTGGTGAAACCACTCAAGTCGTATCCCGTTTTGAAACCTCGTATCCCGCCTCTCTGTGTTTCTGAGAAAAACCAGTGGCAAAAAACTCTTGACTCTTACATAAATCCCCCATCAAGCGGCCTGAAGAGGCTTTCCAATTCGGGTCAATTGATGAAATCGGCCAGGAAGATCCTCTGAGATTCGGCCAGGCTGAAGCCTCTCACATCCGGCCTCACCACGGTTTTCTCGCGTGGAACAATCGTGGTTTCAGAGTGGGTTTTCCCCATCTGTCCGACAGGACCTCGGCGCCAAGGCCATCGAAGCGAAAAACGTGGTGTACACATCTGGTCACGTCTCTCCTTTAGACTCTGCATTGGGGTCTCCATCCCAATGGGCACCATCCCAGCGAGTCGGTCACCGGCGGAGACCGGCCACGGTCCCGATCACATCCGGACGCTGGACCGCGCGCGTCGCTGGACGCGCGGAATTGTTCGGTCTGACCGGTCAGGGTGGTCAGACATGATTCGAAGACCTCCCAGGTTTTGTATTAACAAGGAAGACATTGTCCCCCCTATGATTTTGGATTGAACATTACTTTGCGAATGCCATGACAGTGAAGAACATTGAAGTAGGTTTTGAGTGTTGATGGCAAACATCTTCGTCCTTAGGGCGAAGAGAAAACCACCTGGAGCCCAGTCCACCGGAAAGAAGACCCGAAAGGGTGAGTAAGCAGATGTAAGCAGTTTCGACCATGCCCAAGGTCACCAGGACAAGAGGACACAATGCACCAATGTCACCAGGACACTGTCACTAGGACTTACAAGTATATACCTCAATGTCAGCAGGTACACCTTTACAGCCAAAGAGGACACCTTCAGCAGAAAGACCGACCTTTCGCACCTGCTGCGCCTCCAACAAAGTGACGTCCCTTCAGACGTCCGGACGAACGCGCAGGCGATGCAGCTGCGCTTTGTGCAGCAGGCTGAGCAGGAGATCAGGGGAGTGGCCGAAAAGGGGGGCCAACGGCGGGGGGTTGGACTGGTTTGGGAGGAACAGGCAGTCTTTAAAACCACAGAGTCTTGTAAAGGAAAATCCGTCTGGAACATTCTGGAACAGAGTGCCATTCGACCCGTCCATCTGGGTCTTCAAGGAGTGTATCTTCTCTTAGTCATGTAATTTCAGGCGTGTGGTTCACTGCCTGTGGAGGGCAGACGTTTCTTCCGGGAGTCTTTTGGCTTTAGCCGTGTGATCAATTTATAGTGGCTCTGATTGGGTTCGCAAGAAGTTTGTCTCTTCAAGCTGTAGACTCTAGACACATTTTAACTCGTGATTATGCGAGACTCCTTCTGGCCCTGGTGGGAGACAGATCTTAAATGGTGGCTCTGTCCCATTGTAGATTCAAGCATCACCTTGAAGACCGCCTTTTGTTCTGGAAGAGGCTGCAAAGGGGCGTGGGGAGAAGATACGAAGATCTGTGATGGAGACAGCACACCGGTCATGCTTCGAAACTGGAACTGTCCGTTTGGGTTGCTGTAACCAGTGTTGAGTCCTGCAAATGAAGTGAGTAAGGTACATGGCGAGGACGCTCAGTAGGCACATGCCATACATAGCGCAGCCTAGCTCATGATTGATGTGGAATTTGAACGCCCGTTCACTTGTGCAAAACCTCTGACAATGTCATCTCCTTTACCGGACCATGCGAACAGGACCACCCTTTCAAGTTTTCCTTTTGTCCACGCCGCGTCGTGGTGGTCCAGATGTGTGTCAGATCGTCGATCGACCTTGGGCCGCAGATGTCACAGATGTCATGCTGCTTGAGAATCCCGGGCAAACTCGCAGCACCTAGGCTCACTCTCATATACATAAGATACCCTGGCCTTCCAAGATGAGTTACAAACATGATCGACCTAGTTTTTGTCGTGTTTTCTTTTCTTCTACAACACTGGTTGTTCGGGATCAGCCAGCTATGAACTCGGACCGGAGTTTCCAGGTTCTTTTCTTTGGACCTTCCAGGTCCGAGGGAACCGAAATGGTGGATGAGGCATCCGGGAACTCTCCCCCAGCCCCCTTTTCAGCAGAACGGTCGACCGGTTGTCACCGTTCCTGCGCAGCAAGAAGTGACCGCGAGGCGACATGGGTGGAACAAAGACGAACAGACGAACGAAGAATAAGAACCACCCACCTCCACCCACCAACTGAGGGCTGGAGTGTCTCCATCGACTGGATGCCCAAAGTCTATAGTTTTCCGAAAGATCCAAGTCGTTCATCCAGGAACGCTCTCAGAGCTTGCGCTGGTGGGACGTGCGTCGACAGGCCCCGTGTCCATCGCGGGCCGAAGCAGCGGATTCTGCGAACGCCGCGGCGAGAGAAGCCACGGCGATGGTGGCAGAATGGTGTGTCCGGAATCGGTTTAAGGGAACATCTACAGGACAATTTCGCTTTTGGGGTGTGAAAGCCATGCTTTCCTGTAGACGTTCCCTTAAACATCTTAAACCAATCCATCGAATGTAAGTAGTAGTGTGTTTTGGAAGGGTCAAGTCCATACTGCAAGGCGGCCCATCACTGTTTTTTCCCCAGAAGGTCTCAGCTCACCCCTTTCCGTCTTCATTCCAGGGCCCCGAAACTCGAGAAGGAGTTGTTTTCCCTCAGAGCGTTCGAGTCGGGGTTTGACTCGAAGCCACCGTCGGGTGTTTCAGATGGGGAGAGATGAGATGTTGCATTTGTTGGTGACTTGAGTCATTTGACTCAAGCTCCAGAGTCCCACATGGATCACAGATGGAGTAGTTAGCCTGGTTGAGTTTCCGTCCGACTGAACTGGTGGGCTATTTTTAGGGATTAGAATGGATTCTCACGACGTCATTCTCCACCTTCTACTCCCCAAATTGTGTTGCTGAGAAGACAGAACGTTCAAGATCCACTTTTGATTGCCGAGCAACAAGTGCTGCTGCATAGCGGAAGAGAATGCTCAGGACACCTTTTTTTTTATGTTGTTTTGTTAGCAGTGGAAATCAAAGGATCCTTGCTTGGAGGAGAATTTGTCCGACGCAGACCCTATTGTCACAAGCACGAAACCAGCAAATTGGGTCCTCAATGTATCCCGAGCATGTTTGCAGGGTATCTCCAAAGTATCTTCGCGGCACCATGTATCCCTAAAACTTCCAAGGGGTGTGCAATGGGCAGCTACTACTACGCAGTGTGATCAGTGCCAGCTGATCAGTGCCAGCTGTGCCTTTGTTGTTTTGTCTTCTGGAGGTACGCCATTTTTGCACACGCTTGACAGATGGAATGCAAGGGAGATTAAGTGACCTTATAGGACCTGCAAGCTGGGGTAGTTGAACTAGGGTCCTTCAACCTCTGTTGGTGGAGGTAAGTTCATAGGGCTTGTGCTGGATTTCACGAGATTGAACACCAGGCTGAGGGCTCGGCCTCAGCGCAAGTGAGCCTTAGGAGCGATGGAACACGTGCCGGGTGCAGCGGAAGGGTGTGGCACCAACAGATTTGGAATCTGTAGAAATCATTTTGGAATCACGTGCAAATGTGGTGTTTTGTTCTTTGGCATTTGATTGGACAGAACATGGTAGGTTGTTTGGTCAAGGTTTCTGGCGATTCGTTTGAGAGGTTAGATTCTATCAGCAATTTCGAGAGAGTTAATGTCATTTACTAGCTTCGGCTTCTTCCGCACCGCCTGCAATCTGGACTTCTATAAGTTCTATAGAAGTCAACCGGAGCTCAAAAGAAGTCTACAAGACTTTGCCCCAACTGGAGCTCTTTTTGAGCTCAAAAGAGCTCGGCCGCCAGGAGAAAGGGCTTGAACTACGATGCCAACTTGATCAACGCATACAAAGACCGCCACGTTTGGGCCCCCGGACCGCGACCGTCGACCGAGAGTTCCCGAGACGCGGTGAGTTCCCGAGCGAGGTTGGCCGCTGGGTTGGCCGCCCAAATCCAGAGGTCTGCCCATGAGAAGACTAGCATATGGGTCATCACAAAGGCGCTTGTGAAGAGGGTTGAACAATGTCGGGAAGCCGAAAGTTGTTACAGTTGAATGAATCAGAATGAAACCATTTGGTTCTCGTAAGAGAAGGATCAATTCATTGAACTCAGGTACCCGGGCCGTTTTGCTTCTCATCTCCATCCTTCACTGGCTCCCAGCCGCTTTGCCCGAAATAACCGCCCAGATGACGCAGAACAAGTTGGAGGAGCCGACGAGTTCGCGGACGAGCGGAGTGTCCGGCGATCTTCGTGTGGCGACGCGGGTGTTCCCGGTCCATTGGTCCGGTGGCAGAAAAAGAGTTCTGGATGGAATTCCGCAGGGCCGGTGGCCATTTTGGCTCAAGCTATGGAACCATCGAGCGCTACTCACGTCAGATAGTAGTGGGGGGCTGCTCTGGTGCCACGGAGCGGGCGCCAAAGTAGTGACGAAGTTGAGCACCTGAACGAGGTGGGAGCTCCAAGCGATGGGACCAGCGCCGCGGCTCGCGGACCTGAGCCCGCAGGTCAGTGCATCTAGGCGAAAACCGCGGTGGGAGACGAACATCACGAAGAAGCTGGCTGCAAAAATGAGTTTGCCACGATCAACCAGGACATCAATGACCACAACTATCGTGCAGTCCTCTCAGCAGCTCCACTTGGAAGACAAACCAGAGCTGTTGAAAGCCACATGCAACCTGTTTTCAAAAAAACGGTTGCCGATGTGAAGGGTGGCGGACAGCGCTGGGGGCTTGAGTGGGCCAAGTACCTTTGCACAGCACGAGGATACGAAGACAGCGGTGAAGAGAAGCCGTTGTGCACCAAGTTCCATTCATTGACCTTCAGTGAGAACGCAACTTCAAAGCGGCCTCCAAGTCAGTTCGTTAAAGGCTCGCAAGATCGCCGACCTCTGCCTTCCCAGACGATGCGATGTAGCCAAATCTTTGAGCCAGGCGGCCAACGGGACCGTCAGAGATTCTGGCTTGACTGAGGGGGCCATGGCTCGCTTTGATATGGCGCCGACGACAAGCGTACTTGCGAGTTGGGAGCGAAACTCTGTTGCCAAGCACCTATGGAAGCACCACATCCACATCAAAGACAATGTGTTGACCGAAGAGAACCAGTTAGCTTTCAACAGCCACAATTGAGGAGTTGATTGCTCTTTACACCGAGATCAACATGAAGGCTCCCCCCGGCCCCCTCTACAGGCAACAGGGCTTTCAAAGCAACGGCGAGTTGCTCCAGGAAGACGTGCTTGCAAATGACCTGAATGCCATGCTGGACAAAACCAACACTGCCCAGCATGTTGATGATGTTTGGCGCATGGTGTTTAGGGGAGCATCACCCTGGGCCCTCTACTCGAAACTCGAAACGCAAGTACGACGTGTATACCCAGGAAAAGGCCGAGAAGAAGACTCGCGTCGCACTTACTATGAAGCACCGACTGTGGCCCAACAATCCATCGGCATCGGATCCATTTGTTGCTTACCCCTTGCCGTACTACGGCAATGGTTCATCGATTTTCAGCGGGCAACACCAGCAACCCTTGGACGAACTGATGAAGTCAGGTGCCTCCAAGAGGGTAGGCGGAGTGATCTTGTGAGACACTATTATGATGACAAGAGCAGCAAGGCTTCTGTTGCCAGAGCTACAGGCCTCGACCTCAAGTGCTGCAGCTTTGCTGCTGCCTGCTGTTGGTTTGTTACTGCTGCTGCTGCTGCTGCTACTGCTGCTGCTGCTGCTGCTGCTTGGTGGTCTGCTGCTTGGTGGTCTGCTGCTGCTGCTTGCTTGGTGGTCTGCTGCTGTTGCTGCTTGGTGCTCTGCTGCTGCTGTTGCTTGTGGCTCAGCTGCCAAGCTCTATGGTCACTACTGATGGTTCTTCGTATAGCTATCCCCTTGGTTCTTCTCATACTTACCGCCCACAAAAATGCAAAGCCCCACCCCAAGGTGCCTGTTATTCATCATCCTCATCATCTTCACCAGCCAATTCCCAAAAGGCATGTGGAGAAGAATCCCTATGGTGGTTCATGACATTGTCCTTACCTACTCACCAGCTGATCACGAAAGCTAGCCTCAGCTAGCTGGAGTCGCTCTTGCTTCGCAGTGGCTAGCTTTCGTTCACCCCCCTGGCCTCAACGTTTTCGCTGGGAGGTTGCTTGAGAAAGTCAATAGCAAAGTCAAGTATAACTTTTGCTGGGGTCTTGCTTAAGAAAAATCACAGGCAAAATCAAAATATTTCATTCGCTGTAGAGTAAAACATATATTTGTTCGCGCGTGCGCGATATATCTCGGCTACTTACATCTGTTTGTTTGCCCGGGGCGTGGCCGGACATCCTACTCTTGCAGACTTTCTGTAAGATTTTCCCTGAATACTTACCATTCTTCTACACACTTTTGCTTTCCACGCTCCCGGGCTTTGGAACCATTTTTTCTTTCGGGATTGCGTAAATTAACCCACATAGATCGATGTTGTTGCAACACAGATAGTCGCTTCTGGTTGGGAACGCGTCCGCGTGCGTGACTGGGTAGTGTAGTAAACGGATCCCTTAAGGCTTCGCCTCAACGAACTCCGCTTCGGTTCTCCGGAGACGCTGCTCGAGACTCCGCGTCGGCCATAGACGCGGCCGCCCGACGTCTGCGCCGCAGTACGCCTTCGCAGAGCTGGGAGCCTTGAGCGATTCGCCCACCACCACCCAGGCGTGACCTGCTCGTGACCTGGCGAGGAGGGAGGAGGTAGAGGTCTGAGGAGGATGAACGGATGTGAGTTGAAGCATTCAATTCGTTTTCAGTGAGTGGACACGTCTGGGTATCTCTCAAACCATCTCAAGCCCAAGGTGTTCTTTTGCAAGGTGATTTTCTGGAAAACCAAGAGTTCGTTGGATGAACTTGGCAGTTGTCTTCGACGTATTTGGGTTGTTTTGCGCAGACTGCTGGTTGTTGTGACCGTCGACCAGCCGACCAGCCGACACCTCTGCAGCATATGTGCGATGGGAGATTCCGAAGGTCACAGGTTTGTTTGTGCGGCTGAGTTTCTCAATACCCTGCAAGTCAACGACTATAAAGAGTTAGAATGGTCTTTATGGGATCTGAAAGGGAACTTCCTTTACTTCAGCCGGTCAAAATATAGTCTTTGGACTTCCAGGGAATATATTTTAGGATTTTTTGGGAGACTCTTTTGGAGCAACCAACGCCTGTAGTAGGTCTTCGGTGTGAACCAAAGACTGGCTGGTGGTGTACAAGGAGATGGTCACCCACTTGTCATAGAATGTGATGTCGCACGGGGTGTATTTTAATGGGGAGACTACTGGGTTTTGGTCTGTTGCTAGTCCACTTGAGTAAGATGACCATCCCCCGCATACAGGATGCTTTTTGACCGTGGTTTTTGCTTTCGTTTTGACTCATGAAATACTCCACTTGGTAGTCAATCAATCCACCACTACTCTCCCTGGAACTAACATGGAAGTGGAAAACCACCTGTTTGTAGTGGATTTCATGGTTTTCCAAGGGGCCATTCTCCACTTCCATGTTGCTCCAGGGAGTGTACCCGTTCGGGGTAAAATGAGTCATGACTGCCAGGAAACTCCCCACCTTCGTCCCTGTGAATGGTCGCGTCGGTCGACCAGGCTGCTTCCTCCATCCCGGGGCATGAGGACAAGGCACGACCGATGCGATTTCCCGCTGCACAAGAACCCCTGGAAGAGCTTCGGATGCTTGTTTTTACACCTGGGAAGATTAACGTAGAACCTGACAATGGACCTTTGGAAGACCATTTTCCTCTACAACTCATTGGCTTTCAGGTTTCGTGTTAATTTTCAAGGGTGTACATGCTTTTTGGGGGGCGGCGTGCTGTTTATCTTTTTGTCCCACGCCCAACCCGCATGGCGAAGATGAAACGCAAAACATGGGAGAATGGTTTTCCAGGACAGTCGGGGTGGTGAATGACCTCTTTTCGGGGCACCCAGAATCCGTGGGGCGGAGACACACGGGGGTGCCCCCTGTCACATTCGCTCACTGGTTGTGTTTCGCCGAGAGGGGACTCCCTGGAGCATTTGTTGGTCTTGAGCATTTCGGATTTCTGGTTTTTGCGGAGGCTGGACCAGTTTGTATGCCGCACCCAACGGGGAACATCGACATTTGAGCATCCACTCCATGTTTTTTTTGGAGAGATAACTGATGATAACTGGATATGGGAGTGTACCTAGAAGAAGATCAAGGTTCGAATTTGCTGGTTGAAACTGCATCAAAGGCCTCCAAAAACGCAGGGTCCAACTGGATCAAGATCATCATCTTCCGGCTGTGTGTCATGGCACCAGGATACCGACCAGGCCCTTCCAGGAAGGTCTACCATGCTCGCTCGCTGCATGGTGGACGGATCTGGGTGGGGTCACGACCCATTTCCACATGGCCGTGGTTCTAAGAACTGGAGCCCCAAACCCTGGTGCGTTGACCATGTCTTGTCTGGGTGGTCAACCAATGGCGCCAGGTGGTCAACCCATAGCCACGCGACATCACCTGGTCGTTTAGCTCATCGTCCAACCTGCTCGGGGGCAGGAACACGAGACCACGGAGGTCCAGAGACGCTCCAGGCGGTGCGTTGCTCGGGAGAAGCAGGTGGTCTCGTGTTGGCCGAACACATCGCTACATGCGAAATGTGTTTGCTCGGCCGAATATGTCGGAACATTCCTGGACCATCCTGTGGCGTCCAACGCACATCTCTAAGTAGTGAACCATTGGACACCCAGACAGGATGGTCCTGTTTGTTTAGCATAGAGGTGAATGTTCTAACACTCCGTGCTTCCAAACACTTTGTCACGGTGATCGATGGCCGTAGTACAGGAACATGGACATCCATGGTATTCCCATGGCATTCAGGGCAGATGGAGGCGAACCACCGTTGAACGTTATATAATTGGAAGAAGTTGTGTGCCGGTGCCCATCGATTGCAGCGCAGCACAAAGACATGCACATAGGAAGTGCTCCAGGGTCTGCGACCAGGTTTGTATAACACGTGATATTAGCGTCCTTGCTTCTAGTAGCTTCTTGTTACGTTCGTAGCGATGGCCTCCAACCTACTAGCAATGGCCTCCACCTGTGAATGCGTCCTTGTTCCTAGCATTGGAGAACACCAACCGATCGATTTCTCGCCGCGTTGACGTGGTTGAACATCCCACCACTTGGGCTCATGGGTTCCCCATCATGGTTGAGGACCCTTGGCTGAGGTGCTCCATTTTTGGTTCATCCCTTGGGTGACACAGATGAGGATCGGAAGATGCCATCGGGGGGAAAGCGGCAAGTGCACGTAGGTGCCGTGGTTGTCTCAAGACCTCTTCGCTTTCCGCACAGTTCTGCGGCACAGAAACCCGCGTGGTTTGTTGCGCCGCCAGGTGCCGCTGCTGTTGCCGGAGGTGAGGGATTTGGGGAGTTTTTGGGATTTGGGGCAGAAGGTGGAGTTCTTGCCAAAGCATCCTTGGATCCCCATCCTCATCGCCCTCTTTGCTGAGTCGCGAAGACATCTTCACATCGAGTGACTTCGAAATCCTTCGGATTTAGCAGTGGCTCATGGGCACCGGAAGTTGAACGCAGACCACATCCCTCCTCCGCACCCCCCTGGTCGAAATGAGCACTCCCGGTGGAACTCGGGCGCCTTCGCACCTTCCCTTCGGCCTCTTTTCTCAACGTGTTTCAAGTCGTTGATGGATCTCGGTGGAACTCGTCGCGGATGGCAGTTGCTGGAGCAAGTCCATCACCAGCTTCACCATTTTCTGCCACACCGCACGGGACACCCAGCGCGACCTGCCAGTCCACCCCCCCCCCGCCAGGCTTGCGCGGTTAACGGGGGGGCCGCGGTCGCGGTCTGGGGTGAGGCATGGGAGTTAACTCAGGCACACTGGGTGATGAACCATGATGAACCTTTGGTTCTTGGCGGTTTCAAACCTGTGTTATTCGCCACACCCTTTCAGCGTGTATGATCATGTATGGCTTCTGAAAAAGCGTTTCATTTCTTTTTGAGTGAACGAGCCCAGTTGACTCAGTTCTTCAAAGAGAATCTCTAGTAAATGCAGACGGTTGATTAGCAAAATAACCCCTCCTGCCGGAATGGATTATATAGGGGGTTCTTAATCAAGAGTCTACATCTCCAGGTCAGGAAAGTTTGATTCTACGAACAATTTGTCTATGCCCACACACCACCCAAACTGGATAGCTACAAGCACAGCTAAAGGGCATGGCGGCACACACCGGGGCCACCGGCTCTTACAGCTGCTACAGCTGCTCTTCCACGCAGATTCCACCGATCTATAATAGACCAGCCCTAAGACTCCGGGCTCCTTCACCAACAGATAGGGTTTGGGAACCGGGTCCATTTCCCCCTGCGTTTCGGTGGAGAAGGTCTGACCCCGACCCCCATGGACAGCCCGAGCGGTCGGATTCAGCGGGCGCTGGAGCGGTTGGCCATGGCCGAGGTCATGGGCCTGGTGTTGGGCCTCGTGGACCGAAGGAGTCGGGTCATCGAAGGATTGGAGTGGATGAGTGGATGAGTGGATGATGGATGTGAATGTGGGGTGGAGAGGTGGATGAGGGGTGGATGTGGAGAGGTGGATGTGGAGAGGTGGATGTGGAGAGGTGGATGTGGGGTGGATGTGGGGTGGAGAGGTGCATGTGGTTTGGTGGAATTGGGAGAAGAATCCATAAGAATCCCATTTTGAGAAGAATGCCCTTGACAGACCTGAGTTTGGATGAGCTTTTGACGATCTTGGTCACGTGGATGGAGTAATGGTGACACGGTGACACCTGTAAAGGAAAGCGAAAATTAAGCAGGGGCTTGGAGATTGTGACTGTTCCGGAGACCCTATGAGGATTTCAAAGGCTCTAGCTGCGGGCTCTATAGCATTCGGACATCAACATTTGCTTATTGAAGTTTCCAACTGCCACAATGACATAGTCACTCCCACTTCAAACAGCATGGCGCAGGGATTATGACCTTTGGGATCCTTTGTGTATAGGTAGATGACGCTCTCCGCGGAGTTGCGCCATGTCTATTGAGATGAGTGTAACAGTTTTTGCGAATTGGGGGAGGTCATAGCTCATGCAGTAGCTCAGTAGCTCTCTTGTCACCCTCGCGACTCGCCGACTGTCCAAGCTGATCGTGTTCATCCGGGTGGAGGACCTCCCCGCTTGGGGCGTTTGGTCGTGGCGCATAGCCGGATGCCACCAATACCATGGCGCATGTTGAGTAGAACCACAGAGAACTATTAGTTAACCCTTTGAGGCCTCCCATGCACGGAACATCATACGATATCCGACGCCACTCAAGCTGGCTACGTGCGTTCCGTTCGCGGACGACCTCCGATCCTGAAGTTCCCCATCTCTTCTCTCACACGAACGCGACGCGTCGCTCTGCCTGCCCGCCGCGGGTGGACTTCACTCAGTGAGGTTGGTTCATCGCGAAGGTGGACTTCACTCAGGTGATGAACGACATGGTCTTAGGTCAAGGCTTAGTGACCGAATGACGATCCGAGGATCGGATCGTGGGATCGTGCCCGCAAGCCCGCGCGCCAGACAGATCCGGACGAAGGTGGTGGCGGAAGTGTTTTTCGTTCAAAGGTCCATTTGGTGAAACCGAATCAGGTGGATCACTAGCTATTATATACAGTGGTTGTAACGTTGTAGGATGTTTTAGTAAAACAACCCCAAGAAGATTGGCATTGGGCAACTCCAACTCGTATTTCCTCCAAGAAGTTCTTGTCGCCCAATGCTTGATCAATGAATCTCGGAAACCGATCGCATGGTGAAACGTTGGTCAACTTGTGCAAAAACAGAACTTGCTCGAAGGTCCCCAGTGTTGTTGGAACCGACGGGGCATTGGTTCAGCCGATCTTTCGCGGTATCGAACCGGCCCCAAACTCTTCCGCAACTCTTCAGATGTAGTCTCCAAGTCAGTAAAAGCGGCCCCCCAACCTGGGATGACCATTTTCCATCCTCTATCAACAGGTCAGGAACTGACCTCATAGAAATACTGGAGTTGGTCATACAAAACCACTACGAACAAGGAGATAAAAGCAGGTTTTACTGGGTCAAACTGGACTTGTAGGGCTCTCTCAACGGATCAACAGTGCGAACTGGGTGCTTTTTTCCACTTTCCAATGGATCCGAGCTGTCCGTGTGATGCGCGAAGGACAGGGAGGTGCAGACATGCAGGGAGGTGCCCACCCGTGGCCGTGCTGTTTGCATCTGATCCTCTCCTGGCGACGTGTAGGCATGGAACTCCCCAGGGAGACAGCGCAGGGGAGACAGCGGCGCTCATGCAGAAAAGACCATGGGATTCATATGGATTCATCTGGTCATTTCTAAAATATTACTAAAGATCTCTTACAAAAGCCTTGCACCGCAGCACACTTGTCTCTTTCAGGAAACTCCTTGTGAATTGCTAGATACTTGGCCTGAACGCCGCATCAACTACGCTGCAAACAGCCCTTGCTGTTTTCATTTTCTCTGGGTGGAGGTCGATCTGAGCTGATTTGGGCAGTCGCCCACCATAATTCGCTGATCTTAGCAGACTGGACAGGGCCTGCTTGGGCCACTGCGCGAGGGTCGAGGGAGACCAACAGACCTTGGTGGTCACATCCAACTGACTGGTGCGAGTAGGCAAGTGGGGAATACGGGAATGGATCCTGATGGATCTACAGCGGTGGTTGATTCATGTTCATTCCCTCATTCCCTACTTTCGTCGCACCAGTCAGAGGAAACGTCCATCTTCCAACCTCAAAGAATCTCAAGTAAGGACCTGTCTTAGACTTTTGGGAAGCAAGAGACCTGCAGACCAGAGAGCCAAGGTGAGGACTCCCGCTCTCCAAAGGTCCGTGGCAAAAGACCCGCGTGACAGACATGAGGCGTCCGGAAGAGTTGGCGCCAGGGGTCCGGTTCCAAAGGAACCCAGCGGAACCCTCCACGAAAAGGCGGTGGCCAACGGATCTCGGAGCGAGGATTTGTCAGGACAGATGGGAGATCGGGCTTCGCTCCGCCGCTTTTGGGGAGGTAATTGGGATAAAGATAGAATCCTTCTACTGAACACAGGCTTATCCTAAGCATCCTTCTAGCGATTCCTACTGGTCATCCGTCAAACTCATACAGCCCGCCTGCGAAAGGACATCACTTTGCCAAGCTTTTGTTAGGTGGGCTCTAGGTCCTCAGGATTCTTCTTGGCGATTCGGAACGCCTCTTCGACCTCAAAACATCGTGCAGATGGAGTCCAGAAGAGTTCTTCCCTCCATCCGCAGTCTCGGCCGCAGGTGTGTCCTGGCCGCGGACGTCCGCGGACGCCACCGCTGCCGCTCCACTGGGACTGCGCCGCTGGTAGAGGCCAGAGTTGTGAATCTGGACTGTGCTTTGTCGTACTCTGAGATCCTTGGATACTTTGGTTTTCGGGATTTACTACCACCTCAGTAAGCAGTAAAACCTTTGTGGGGGTTCTGGTGTTGCAGCTTGAGCTTGTCATTTGGGACGGTCCAGTCACGACTCATTTTATCTTAGAATATGAGAGGTGCTTCATAGGGTACTTCTTCAACTCAAAAAGCAGTAAGTCATATATACAACAAAAACCTGCACTTTTCCCAAGAGTCCAGTAGTGGTGGATTGACTACGAGGGTGGAGTACTTCATGAGTCAAGTCACGGAAGTTCTGGGTTAGGTTCCTTTTCACCCCCCCAAATGGCTAAGGGAATCCACATGGCAACAACATTCATCGGGACGGCCAAGCTATTCATTGCCCTGGGGCCCCCTTTTCGTGAAGCAACACTTAGCACTTGCGTGAGCAAGAGGCTTTTAGGAAATCCATGGCTTGCAGAGTTCCTCGTCTTGGGCGTGGCGGTGCAGTCCGGTGATTTGGACCGTGACTTCGGTTTTCTTCCTGTTGGGGTCATGAGAAAAAATGAGGAAAAAGAGGTTAACATGAGTAGAAACAGATGTGATGACCCACATCAGATCTCATTTTTTTTTGGGTCTTATTAGTCAGATCTCACCAGTGTGGACGTTGGGATTTCACTGGGCTCTTCCGGAACCCCGAATGTTCCGCCCCCTTCGATCGGCTGAACCTGCTGAGTCCCAGTCTGCTTGTCCCGGCCGACCTTCAGGCCGCCGGACGGACTAGCGCCGAGGGCCGTGTCGGCCAGACCGGAGGTGGGGGGAATGGACGGACGGTGGGTGTGGCCTGGTGGGGAGAGAAGCGTGGCGTGTGACGGTCTCTGCTTGGGCGTAGGAGCGGAAGGACGCCGAGAAGGGAGATAGGCGGCGTGTGCAAGCTTTGATATGGCCAATGGGCGTAACCACGAAGGACTCTTCAAGAAAGATGTCGTTCGCGCGATGGCTTCTTTGCGCGTTGGTCCAAGCCTATGTGCCCTGGGTGCATCTGTGCTAGCCCAGGAATGTCAACGCAGTAAACTATGACATCCTGCGACCCGGTGACCAGCGGTGAAGCGTGAAGCGCTGCGCGTTCGAAAAAGGCCCGGATCCTCCGTTCCATGAACGCCGTGGCGACGGGAAGCAGCCCGAAGGTAGGCTTAAAGGGATGAAGAACCGTCATGGCCAGCGCACAGAGTGTTTGGCGAGCTCAGATCGCGTGGCAACGCTGTCGTATTTCTTCGCGAAGAACGAATTGACGCACACGGATCTCATGTGCGGACGGGCTCGTCAGTCGGTGGCACCAAGCTCGCCCAAGAGTAGCTCCAGGCTTGAGACAGACGCCTGCAGGCAGCAGTGGCACCACTGGCGGATTCCAGGGAAGACACGTGGTGACAGTGTCACAGTTTCCTTCTGGAAGGCTACAGGCTGCTTGGCTGTTGGCAACACATGGAGGCTGACGACTGTTGGCGTTTGACTTGATGCTGGAGCGTTGTTCCAATGACAATGGTCGATTTCGGCATTGCCAAAGCATGCCAACGCTTTTCCCAAAAGCACCTCCAAAGGGTTCTCCATAAAGAACGGCTGCCAAATTCAGTTTTCCGACCATCATCATCATCATCATCTTCTTCTTCTTCTTTTTGTTCTTCATCATCATCATCATCATCATCATCATCATCATCATCATCATCATCAATCACCATTGTGATCGTGATCGTCATCGTCGTCAGCATCATCATGATCATCTTTTCTTTCTTTCGCGACGCCCTCTGCTTCGGGAGGTAGCGTTGACCCTCTTGAACATTTGTCAGGTCAGGCACTTCGTACCACGTATGGTCATGAAAAGGACTGAGCGATCTGCAAAGCAAGTGCGGCCGTCGTTTCTATGGCCACATCCTGCTGCATGCGCTTCAAGAATCGGTGGAGCATTCCAAAATTGCGAAAACAAGGACAGATATGTTCGTCCATGCTCTCCATCCCACTATAGAAAGGTTGGCAGGCGCACAAACGACCTGGTCTGGCCTGCGTCATGAATTGGAACGTGAGTTCCTCACACGGCTGCTCAGCTTCATCCCACAGCGCAGCATGGTGGAGCCTCAAGTGAGACTTGAGGTCAGGCGGCTGCATGTTGCACAGCACACAGCGCCGCGTCAGGAGGCCGCATGCTTCCAAGGAGTCAAGCAGCAATCGAACGTCGAGACGATCGAGAGCGGGCAGCCAAGCATCAAAAAGTGCATGGTCCTGACTGAACGCTTGCTTTACGTGCAGCATTTGTTGTTCCTTAGTCAAAATTGCCAAGGAGCCTGAGTCAATCACATCACAGATCTGAGCTCCGCCATGGTCCGTAAGCTTCAGCCAGAGGACACAGCAGTTCCTGAGCACGTCGTCCGGAAGTCGAGTCACATGCACTGGAGGCGCTGCATCATCCAACAAAACCCAGTGGGTCTCATCCCAAAGTGCAGTCTGGTAGTGTCCTGAGTGAGGGTCATGACCTACATGATGGGAAACCGCAACCACCGTGTATGGAATGTTGTCAATCTCCATGCTAAAGTGCACGAAGTGAGGTACAAACACTGGATGGTTCCAACTGAGTTTGTGAGTGCATTTGCCCCCATCTCGATTGAATCGGTCTATCTGCACAGTGAGTAGGTCGGCTGGACCAGCAAAGGCCTCGAGGCCATAAGACTCAAGTGACCATGCACTGAACAGCTCTTGCAGCTCGGTCGTATCTTCGTTTTCCGCTGCGCTCAGATAGAGGCGTACAGGACAGAAGTGTGCCCCGCTGTCCACCGTGCGGACAACTCCATCTGCCTCAATCCTGGCCTCCCAGAGATTGCTCAGGAAACAAGGCTCCACAATGGGAAGCAGGAACTGGAGGTATTCAACTAGGTCGTGCTGTGCAAAGGGACGGGCCCATTGATCCATCAAAGAAAGCCACTTGCCATTGCCCCATAGCAAGACAGGCTCACCATCATCATTGCTGACGATGTGTTCGAAGATCTCTGGTAGGACCTTCCATTGGTGTGCCTGCAAAGGCCCCACTTTGATTGCACCCCATAGCAAACCCTGGACGGCTGAGTTCATGTAGCAGCAGTTTCCTGGGTTTTGCAAACCCC